TGTATTTCGAAATTTAGCTTCTAAGAATAAACCAAAGAGAGAAAAATATATCCTGTGGCAACATCTTCTTCGAATTTTATATAAAGATCGTTTGAAGCTTAATAAATCTTGCTTCTACCTGCCGAAAAAGCAATCAAAAGCGATGTGCAAAGACAAAAGTGTTTTGCAGGCATGCTGGAGATGAAACCCGCGATTTAATGCTAAAAATAGAACGACCTTTGCGGACTTGCTACCAGATGCTGGGTTCCTGGTTCTCTTTCCCACTTTGTCTGTCTGTCTGTCTGTTAGTTTATTTGTATGTCTGTCTGTCTGTCTGTCTCTCTCTCTGTCTCTCTCAATCTCGGTCTCTCTCTCTGTCTCTCTCTCTCTCTGTCTCTGTCTCTCTCAATCTCTCTCTCTCTCTCTCTCTCTCTCTCTCTCTCTCTCTCTCTCTCTCTCTCTCTCTCTCTCTCTCTCTCTCTCTCTCTCTCTCTCTCACTCACTCACCCTCTCTCCCTCCCTTCCGCCCGCCCTCCCTCTCTTTCTCTCTTAACCTCTCCTTCTTTCTCCATTAGTCTCTCTCTCTCTCTCAAGGATTACATTTGATTGTTTACCTTTCTGAAATATCTTTTTCGAATTATGTAATTGAGAGTTTCACTTTGCTTTGCTATTCAGCTTTCTCTATCTCTGTATCTGCCTCTCTCTCTCTCTCTCTCTCTCTCTCTCTCTCTCTCTCTCTCTCTCTCTCTCTCTCTCTCTCTCTCTCTCTCTCTCTCTCTCTCTCTCTCTCTCCATCTATCTATCTATCTATCTATTTGCCTGTCTCCCTCTCTCTTTCTCCATTCTCAGTCCATCATGTCTATAGTTCATGTTTCACTTTCTCTTTGTCTGTCTGCTTTTCTTTCTCTCTTTGTATCTGCCTGTCTCTCTCTCTCTTTGTATCTGCCTGTCTCTTTCTCCCTTTGTATCTTCCTGTCTCTCTCTCTCTTTGTATCTGCCTGTCTCTTTCTCTCTTTGTATCTTCCTGTCTCTTTCTCTCTTTGTATCTTCCTGTCTCTTTCTCTCTTTGTATCTTCCTGTCTCTTTCTTTCTTTGTATCTGTCTGCCTCTTTCTCTCTTTGTATCTGCCTGTCTCTTTCTTTCTTTGTTCTGCCTGTCTCTTTCTCTCTTTGTATCTGCCTGTCTCTTTCTCTCTTTGTATCTTCCTGTCTCTTTCTCTCTTTGTATCTGCCTGTCTCTTTCTCTCTTTGTATCTTCCTGTCTCTCTCACTCTTTGTATCTGCCTGTCTCTTTCTTTCTTTGTTCTGCCTGTTTCTTTCTCTCTTTGTATCTGCCTGTCTCTTTCTTTCTTTGTTCTACCTGTCTCTTTTTCTCTTTTATATCTTCCTGTCTCTCTCTCTCTTTATATCTGCCTGCCTCTCTCTCCCTTCTTGTAGGTTGTATCTACCACACGTTTGGTGGTATATTTCTTTCGAAAGTGTATGAGGGGATGTGAGTGGCCGCTGTATGGCCGGGTGCTGTAGGTGAAGTGGAAATCTACGTAGAAGCTGGAGAGGGTTTTTCCCCAGCCCGCGAAAGTCTGGATAGTCGTCCTTTTGCTGATGCTTGCTGAAGTGCTCTGAAGGATCATGAGGTACTGATCCGGAGCCTGAAGTTTAAGTACACGGGTATGTAAGCGTGTTAAATTACATGGTCCAAATCAATTTCTTGTATTAGTTCCCTGCCTTGTCTAAAGATTTCTGAATGAACGAGGAAATATATAGCAGGAAATGATAGTCGCTCTTAAAAATTTAGGAAAAGAGTGAGAGAGAGGGAAATTGATGAGATACGTGCATGATTGAAAGTCCTAACTTGATCTGAGCAGAGGAAAGACTTTCCTACTGTAGTGCATAACTTCGTCTTCCCATGGCAAGAAGCCTTATCCATGACTAAAAGCTTGAGCGAAAGTCTGTCAACAGTAGTATTTGCGTACAGTTGTGTGTATATATATGTGTGTGTGTGTATGTTTGTGTGTGTGTGTGTGTGTGTGTGAATATATATATATATATATATATATATATATATATATATATATATATATATATATATATATATATTCATATAAATATATTCACACACATATGTATATATATATATATTTTTTTCTTTTTTTCTTTTTTTTTCTTTTCTTTTTTTCCATTTATAAAAGAGAGAGAGAGAGGGAGAGAGAGAGAGAGAGAAAGAGAGAGAGAGAGAGAGAGAGAGAGAGAGAGAGAGAGAGAGAGAGAGAGAGAGAGAGAGAGAGAAACAAAAAACATACAAGAAGGGAAAAAATACTACACATAAGCGTATGAAAAGTAGTCTACGTATTTCTATATGTAAGTGTATGTGCATATGAATACGCACATTTATAATTAATTATAATTAACAAAACCAAAGACAATAGTGGAACGATTAAATTTATTAAAATTTATCAAAATCATCCCCAGCTACAAAGACTATGCTCAGAAACCTAAACACATGATCTCTGCAATAGACCCATGTAAATTTCTTATACGTAATACTTTTGCCTCTAAAGCTGTTTTTTTTTCTTCTAAGAACTCTTATGACTGTATTTTTTTCCGTGGATATCTTGTAAAAATGAGGCATGATTTTCGAGTTTCAAGGTTTATTTGCCTCCACGTGCCAATGGAAGAGCGTTGTATGTACAGGAACGTGTTTTATAGGCATTTCCAAGCAGGATTCCACGTTCGGGCGATAAAATTGAGTGAATTTTCATGGCTTTATTGCAGGTTGGCGAGTCTCTCTCATTCCCTCACAATATTTCTGGTCTGCCTCTCTGTTTATCTGTCTGTCTGGTTCTTCCTCTCTCTCTCTCTCTCTCTCTCTCTCTCTCTCTCTCTCTCTCTCTCTCTCTCTCTCTCTCTCTCTCTCTCTCTCTCTCTCTCTCTCTCTCTTTCTGTTTGTCTTGTACGCACGATCGCCAGCATTCACAGAAAGCACGCAAAAAAAAAAGTTGGTGTCTTTGCACCTTTAAAATACTAAGGCTCATTTATTATTTTCCCTTTGGTAGGAAGCACTCCCCTCACTGCCACTGAATGCCATCTAAACTGTCACATTACCAGAAAAGTCTACACATTTTCTTGGTGGACTGTGGACTGCACTAGAACACCCATTTCGGACTACTACCACTAATACTATTACCTACCTGGAGGCTGATTCTTCTGAAAACATGATACTTTCCCATTTTTTTGGTAATGAAAGTCCACGTCTTACGAGTGGCTACTGTTTGTTCTTCGCGGTCTTCGTGGGGAGTGGTTTCTAACAGCGAGACGTCGAGGTAGGCCTTTAAATGTAGGAGAAACGTACTGATCCTTCCTCATGGCTGCATCTAACGTGAAAGGGTTGCTCTCTCCCTCGTGCTTTACAACTTATCGGTTCCACAGGACTTCTTCTTCCTGCTCCTAGCTTGCCGACGAGAGTGGTGCCGCGAGGAAGCTTGGTAGCCCCTTCTTGAGCTCCGTCGGTGAAGCAGCAACGATTTCTTTTGATAAGTGCATGATTGAAAGTCCTAACTTGATCTGAGCTGAGGAAAGACTTTCCTACTGTAGTGCATAACTTCGTCCTTCCCATGGCAGTCTCTATAAGAAGCCTTATCCATGCCTAAAAGCTTGAACGAAAGTCTGTCAACAGTAGTATTTGGGCACAGTTGTGTATTTCTCTCTCTCTCTCTCTCTCTCTCTCTCTCTCTCTCTCTCTCTCTCTCTCTCTCTCTCTCTCTCTCTCTCTATATATATATATATATATATATATATATATATATATATATATATGTGTGTGTGTGTGTGTGTGTGTGTGTGTGTGTGTGTGTGTGTGTGTGTTTGTGTGTGTATGTGTGTGTTTGTGTGAAATATATGCATCCCTTCCCAACACGTTGTACCCAGCTCGTCATGTACAAACAAAGCAACCACCGCTTACTGTAAAGTGTGCCAAACTTTTCCTTCGCGAACCCGATTTACAAGCTAAACAGTAATTATAAAACATGTTAACCTTGCGTGCCTCAAACGTTACGAGAATTCTTTAGATTACAATTTCAGTCTGGAAAATGTCCGTAATTGCCTGTCTTCTTTGTATAATTCATTGAGAAAAATGTTTTATTTTTGTTTGTTTGTTTATTTGTTTGCTTGCATTTTGTTGAACCGATGGAAGATGATTAAGTAGAATTGTGTGTCTCCATGCTAAAAACCAGGCAATTTTCATGGCTATCTTGGATAACTTTCATTTTCTTTCGTATGTTTCTCTTCTCCCTTTCTTTGTCTATCTATTTTATCTAACTCTCTCTCTCTCCCTCTCTCTCTCTCTCTCTCTCTCTCTCTCTCTCTCTCTCTCTCTCTCTCTCTCTGTCTCTCTCTCTTCTCCCTCTCTCTCTCTCTCTCTCTCTCTCTCTCTCTCTCTCTCTCTCTCTCTCTCTCTCTCTCTCTCTCTCTCTCTCTCTCTCTCTCTCCTCCATCTCTCTCTCTCTCTCTCTCTCTCTCTCTCTCTCTCTCTCTCTCTTCCTCCATCTCTCTCTCTCTCTCTCTCTCTCTTCTCTCTCTCTCTCTCTCTCTCTCTCTCTCTTCCTCCATCTCTCTCTCTCTCTCTCTCTCTCTCTCTCTCTCTCTCTCTCTCTCTCTCTCTCTCTCTCATTCTTTATGTCTATCTGTTTATCTATCTATCTATCTATCTATTTATCTATTTATCTATCTACCAGCCTGTCTTCTAGAGAATTTGTAGAATTGTCCCTAGATTTTCACATAAGATTTTCAAATACACTAGGATTAACTTCAAACATTGTTCGAAGTGTAGCCTCCTCGCTATATAATCGCCCTAAGTACAGACGGAGGTATTAACTAATTCTTACGGTCTTAACCACAGGGCTGCATAGAGAGAATGCAATTCATGTATTTTTAAATCTTTGAAAAATATCTGAAGCTTGACTTTTGCTTTGTGAATTTAATTTTGTTTTCTTTTTCTTTTTCTCTCTTTCTTCATCTGTTTATCTCAGTCAGTCAGTCAGTCAGTCAAACAGTCTGTCTGCCTGTCTGCCTTTTCTCTCCCTCTTCGCTCTCTCTCTCTCTCTCTCTCTCTCTCTCTCTCTCTCTCTCTCTCTCTCTCTCTCTCTCTCTCTCTCTCTCTCTCTCTCTCTCCTTCTCTCTCTCTCTCTCTTATCCGCTTTTTCTCATTTCTCTTCCTCTCATCCTCTTCTCTCTCTCTCTCTCTCTCTCTCTCTCTCTCTCTCTCTCTCTCTCTCTCTCTCTCTCTCTCTCTCTCTCTCTCTCTCTCTCTCTCTCTCTCCTTCTCTCTTTCTCTCTCTTTCCTTCTCACTCTCTCTCTCTTTTTCTATCCTTACTCCCTCTCCTTTTCTCTTCCTCTCGTCCTCTCTCTCCCAGTTTCCCTCTTTTGTTTGCGAGTTATAATTATTTCAAGTCAATGTTTTTGACTGCCATGACAGAGAAGAAAACAGATGAGTTATATTAATCCCTGACACTGTATGAAGATTTATGTGTGAACGAAAACATCTGGCATTCATCACCACTTACTGAAAGCGATGGTAGGCAGTGGAGAGTGAGACTATAAAGAAAGAGAAACAGAAGGAGAAGAAGAAGAAGGATGAATAACGTAGGAGGAGGAGGATAGAAGGAAAAGAAGGGTGATAATATGATAATAATGATGATTGATGACAATGGTAAAAATAATGATGATAAAAGAATAATAACAATAATAATAATGATGAAGATGAGGATGATAACAACAGTAACAGCAAAAACAATAATGATAATGATAATAATAATAATAATAATAATAATAATAATAATAATAATAATGATAATAATAATAATAATAATAATGATAATAATAATAATAATAATAATAATAATAATAATAATAATAATGATAATAGTAATTATAATAATAAGGTCAGGATGAAAGTAACGATGAAAAAAAGGAGAAGAAAGAAGAAAAACAAGAAGAAAATGATGCTGCTGATGATGATAGTGATAGCAGGAAGAACTAAAGGAAGAAGTAGAGGAGGAGGAGAAGAAGAAGGAGAAGTTGGAATAGGAAGAAATGATGATAATGAATATAAGATAATTTCCCTGTCCATAAAAAAGCAAAGTAAAATAGATAAACACATTGTGTCCTAAGATTTTTTTCTCTCTCATAAGGCGCACTCTATATGATTGCATTTTATACTGTTGCAAAGATTAAAGCTGTGATCGTACCTCAGAATCAGTTATAACATCTACATTATGTGTAATATAAAACTGACGTGGGCAAAAATTACCTCTTAATTCATCACACTTCCTTTCATTATATTTTGTTGGATCGTCTTTATTATCTTTTCCTATATTGCCTTTTACTGCATATTTTTTTTTCAATATTTTTTTCAATATTTTCAATACACCATTTTTCGTAACAGCAGCTCTTTGCTAAATCAGCTTTCAAGACATTTCACCATTCCCTTCATCATTTTTTATTGCTACTACTACTACTTAATATAAATTTCCGGAGCTTTTTCCTCTGCGTCAACTTTTGTCGCCATAGCAACAGCACTTTTCGGTACATCACCTTTTGCTGTGTTACCTTTCGCCTGAGCACTTTAAAGTATATAACCTTTTTGCTTCGTCGTCAGCCACCCTCGTCTCGTATACTATTCCTTTATGATTAGTTACGTACACGGATTTTGAGGTTCATTAGGAAACGGCTCAAAAAAACAACAACAAGAAAAAACTAATTTCTGTCCCTGATTTTGAAGAAAAGGATAATATTGATATGAAATAAATAAATAAATTAAAAAAAGGCTAAATTTATGTAGCCCAAAACACTCCCCTCCCCCAAACACCCAACCACCCACCCACCCCCTTCCCTTCCTTGTTTATGATTCAACCTTCTATCCACCAAACCGTGACAACATCTTACTACGTTCTGAATCCTTTTTCCTCCCAAACTATAAATTCTTATTCGAAGCGATCTTAAAATACTAAACATTCAGAGGCCGAAATCGCCGTGTGTAAACTTCCTATACGTCAAAGGCTCCAGAAATTTATTCGGAACTCTATTTCTGCCCAGAGATTTCGTATTACTGTGTGTCGTCGGAGGATAAGTTCTAAGAATGATAGGGGCCTTAAGAAATCTTGAAGTTTGAGCTTTATTTGCGCTCGCGTGCACGTGGCAAAGCACTGTTTACACAAGAAAGTGTTTTACAGACGTTCGTAAGTAGAATTCCATGTTTGGACGATAAAAGTAAAGAGATTTTCACAACCGTGCTTTGGTTCTCTCTTTACTTCTGTCCTTTTCCCTTTCTCTCCATTCATATCTTTCACCTCCTTTGTCTTTCTGCTTGTTTATATATCTTCCCTTTTCTTCCTCCCTGCCTTCAAACCCTCCTCCTTATCAATGCTTTCTTTGTCTTTTTTCTCGTATATAGTATATATATATAAATAAATAAATATATATATATATATATATATATATATATATATATATACATATATATATATA